CTGTGTTTGATAGGGGATTAAAATGATGGGCTGTGTATAAGATATAAACTAATGATTCATTATTTTAAAATTTCATAAAAAAACTAGGCTACTCCCCCAGAAGCTTCCGCCACCTCACATTCGTTTAGGCATGGCTAGCAATAGGCAGCAGAAACGTATTTCTGACTATTTCGAGGTAAGAAATGGTTTTAATTCCCCTATACGCTAGAATAAGGCTGCATATCACAAAATATTATGTCTGTATTAAGCTATTAAGTGATAAAATATGAAATTAGTTTTTTTTGTGTGTGTGTTTTGTTTCAGATATGAAATCATTCCCCATATCCATAGTCGAATGGACTTTCAAGACGTTCAATGCTTAGTTTAGGCGATATTCAGATTCCTGATCCTGTTGATTGGGAGCTGTTGTTTGTTTTGAATGATTAAAAGAGAAGAAATAAAGTTTAAAATGTTCATGCTTTGTTCCGATGCATTTTAAATGGCAGTTTTTGGCGACAAATGTAGGCCTACAATATTATGTTAAAAACGTCAGCAACAGCCCTCAACATAATGACGTCACGTGTTTTCCAACCCAGCCGTCAGCCCCCCTCGCTTGAAACAGCTTCCAGCGCGCCTGCTCATCAGCATGATGCAGCCACAACTGTGCTCGGTAGTTGGTGGTACAGAGATCTTAGGCTTGATAACCTGACCTTGCCTCCTACTAACATAATTCATCTATGGCCAAAAAGTTCTATGTATGTTCTAAGTTTAAAATGTTCGTCTATAAGTTGCTAATTCATGTGGGAAACTAATGATGTCAGTAGATAACGTTACATATGAAGTTGGGGCTTTTTTTCTTTTTGTACCTATTTCCAGGTCCCTACCTTTATGCTTTATGATAATATAAAACTGTCTGTTTCCCTTTTGGAGATCATTTTTTCAGTCTCCTGTTCTCCTTCCTGCATCTTTACATTGTGCTTTAGACTTTCCAGTTAATCTAAAAAGAACTGTCCGTCCCATTAAATCTTCATGATCATGTCTTGAAGGAATGTAAACAAATGTAGCCTACTGTACAGTTATTCATTTAGGAAATTTAGAGATGATAATGTCAAATTGAGCTAGAATAGGCAGGACTGATTACTTTTATTTGACGACTCAAAATCCATTTCTGTATCCTACAGAGGATCAATTTGATATGGGATGAATCAAAAGGGGAAAAAAAAGATTTTAGAAATTTGGATTTTAGAGGGAGCTGTAAAATAAATATAAAACATAAGATGTCTTTATGTCTGACATGTGTGCAGTGTCTGGAAAAATAAGTCACTGAAGGTTTCCAGCTCTATTGAGAGACATACAGCACCAGGAAGCTGCTCATTATTCTCCACTGACCCACATAGAGAATAATACAGCCACAGTTTGTGCTGCTGCTTCCTATACACCCCCCTCCCCTCAGCAAAGAGACTAGTGTAATTCATCACTGACATCCCCTCTGCGCCACCTCTGGAGGTCACCTCTCAGCTGGATAGGATGGCAGGACGCAGGTCAGGGAGCCTCAGGGGATTTAAAGTCTCTAGAATTTACTAGAAGAGCATTTGTTATACAAGATGTTTCCTGCTGTTTTTCTTGACTTTTAACACACACTTTCTGTTCTTCAGCTGGGCAGCAGTCCTGAAGACCTGGCTTCCCTTCGTCATGCTCTGTGGAGTCCTCGCCACATTCATTCTGACGCTGAACCTACAGTAAAACGGCGAGCGGCATCGGGAGAGGGCTTTAGTTATACTGAATACTGTATTATAATTGACATGAAGAGTGCGTGTTTTGACGGGACATTTGCCAGATCAACAAAATATCATATGGAGTTCTGATTGTGTTTAATTTAACCATTTTCTTGTTTGTTTGTAGTTTCTAAAGGACACATATGATCATTTTTACAACTTTTCCTTATCACTTGTCTTCAGGCTTGTAGTTCCTGGTAGTTAAGTCCATTTATTTCATTGGAAGTATCAAAGAATATATCAGGAAAGGCGAGGGTTGCTGAAAAGGGATGTTGACAATGTGGAACCCATAAAAAACACTATGTCCTCATAATACAAACCTGTTTTTGCAATATTCATAAGTTCATAAGGTTAAAAAATATACTGTAAATAATAATGGTTGTAGGGTAACCTTGTCTTCCAGCAGCAGCTTGGAGACCAATCAAAAGGGCATCCTCTTGAGGGATTTAGTCTTTTTTTTAAAGCCTAGTGTGCCTGTAATTTACTACAGTAGTAAAAACCAATTGTGACAGAAAAGTAATTTAAAGCATTCGAATATGGTTTCAGATGAATATCATTTCTCTAGTTCTGTCCAATGTAGTTTCTTGGATGTGCACAGAAAGGCTTTAGTATATATATATATATATATATATATATCCAAAAAAAATCCTTCTTTCTATTATCAACTCTTACAGGGTCACATCTTTCTCAGTATGATCACTTTGTGTTTGACTGGAGAGGGTTAGTGTATCACACGAATGTAGCTCAGAAATCAATTCTTTGAGGACAGTATTTAACTCGGTCTGCAATTAGCTGCCTCTAACATGTTTTTCATACCTAATACTCTAAACTAATTCTTTACATTGGTCGAAGTGAAGGAAGGTAAAATACTGACATACAAAGCAGACCACAGCAGCAGTTAAGCACTGCTGTTGAATGTAGAAATAAAAAATAAAAAAACTGAATCTATTTCTTATAATTACAGGGAGAATATTTGGGAGATTAGTTATAGATTTATTCTGATTTGTGGACTTTAGAAAAAGGTTTTATAAAGACATTAGATACACAAAAATAATAGCTGATGTGAACCAAAGCTTACTGAACTTCGTACTCACATAAAAAAAATAAAGCACAGTCCTTTAATAGTCTGGCTGATTATGTCCTGCTTAAGATATCTGAAAACATTTTCCTTATCTCTTGGTTTTAACACCATTGACATCAAATATGCCAATTGTTGGTTAATCAGGAGTAAAACTATTTCCAGTGGAGAAAGTTTTTGGTTGTGATATTTCAATTTATGTTCTTCCCATGTTTTTATTTTTGCTGTCACTGAGGGACCACATATCCATTCACTATAGTACATCTGTTAAAAGCATCCCCAGTGTAACAACAGACTGTATCCACAAAAACCATTATCATTCTTTAAAGGGGTCATAGAATGATTATATAGGGGATTTGGTGATGGTCCTTAAGGTCTTTGAATAGGGTGTGTAACATTGGTTGGCCTGTTTGCTGTTCCATGCGCCCTAATGCAAGCCTGGTTAAAATCCCTAGAATGAAATGACAGGTTTTCTTCCTTTCATGGTATGCTCATGAATATTTAGATGAGCAGTGCGCTGATTGGTTTGTTCAAAACGAGAGAAGCTGCTGAACAAAGACGCATCATAGCAACAAGCACTCACTCACTGAAACATTTAGATTGTTGATATGGTAGGGTGACAAGACGTGCTCTTTTTCCCTGACATGTCCTACTTTTCATACCTAAAAAAATTGTAAAATTCCAGACGATTTCGAAATTGTCCAGGATTTTGGTTGACTACAGTGCAGCGAATTTTCAAAATACACCGGGCATTCGAACTGAGCTGTCAGCTCCGGGAACCCCGGCGGACGGGAGCAGGGAGCCAGCCGGGGGATGGAGCATATGAACCCAACCCGGTAGCCTGGACACCGGCAACCCAGTATTTCCCCCCGTCTGCCTTACCAGTTCCCGTCCTCCGGCTGAGGATGGGCGGCTTGTGGCTCTCTGCTGAGGTCCGGTCCAGTCAGCAGCCCAGCTGTCAACACTTTTATACCCCCCCTCCATTGGGCCAGTGAACCAGTGGGCTGATCTGTATGTCAATTTCGTGATGTGACAAAAGTAGAGGCCAGAACCAAATAAGGCACCATCCCCGAGTTTACGTCAACTCGGGGCTTCGTCTGGATTCACCCGTTTAATGATTGAAGTTTAGAATTGTGAGATTTGCAGAGAAATAAGGTGTCGATGGGGTTTGAACTTCTCTGTGCTTCCATTTCACTCACTGAACTATCATTATTCATCTATGGCAATGTAAACGTTTGCATTCTATGACCCCTTTAAAGGAATAGTACACCCAAAACATGATTAGCCTTCATTTTCTACTCACCCCCATGCTGAACAAAACTCTGGAGTACTTTTTTGATATCTCAAATGCATCTGGAGATCTGGGAGGCTTCTTGCTGTCTGCTGACATTCAAATAATGGAGGTCTATGGTGCCCGAGACAGAAAGGTCCATAAAAGTCCACAAAAACGTGTCAATATTCCTCCATACTGCTCGTCCAATGTAATCCAAGTGTCCTGAGTGGGTAGCATCCAGAATTTACTTGAAACGAAGTCATTTAGAATGTTTTTAGAGCCTAAACAGTAGTGTATAGGATTTCCTAATAGCGCCCCCATGCGCGCTCACGATTCTACGGAAGCCGGCAGACCAAACCAGCGCATTCAGCTCGGCAAAGAACTCATGCTCTTCCTCAACACTGAAGTCCTCAGACATTTTTCTTTCATTGTTTCTTTCTTTGCACAGGTAAACAGCACATTTCTTCTTCTACGCTTGCATTATCGGCAGAGCAGACGCTGAATGCGCACTTTCTTCCGGTTTGATCTGCCGGCTTCCGTAGAATTGTGAGCGCGCATGGGGGCGCTATTAGGAAATCCTATACACTACTGTTTAGGCTCTAAAACGTTCTAAATGACTTCGTTTCGAGTAAATTCTGGATGCTACCCACTCAGGACACTTGGATTACATTGGACGAGCAGTATGGAGGAATATTGACACGTTTTTGTGGACTTTTGTGGACCTTTCTGTCTCGGGCACCATAGACCTCCATTATTTGAATGTCAGCAGACAGCAAGAAGCCTCCCAGATCCCCAGATGCATTTGAGATATCAAAAAAGTACTCCAGAGTTTTGTTCAGCATGGGGGTGAGTAGAAAATGAAGGCTAATCATGTTTTGGGTGTACTATTCCTTTAAGGGGTACATGCCCCTTGTTTTTTCAACAACGGGTAGCTTCATTTACGTTTTTATTCTAAAAAAGTTCATTTCAAATTAAGCATCCGTATGATTATTTATTTAAGTTGCACACATTTTTTTATATTTATGCATCTTTGCCCTTTGAAGCAAAGTATTGTTTTGTTTTTAGTAAGCTGCCCTATAGGTTCTTCAAATATATTCTCACACTGATTTTTTTTCTTTCTGTTGTGTGTTTTTTTTTTGGGGTGGGTGGGAGTGGGTGGGGGGTAGTCACCCTACGGAGGATAATCATCTCTATAATATGGAGTGGGAAGATACATTTTTCATGAGCGACAGTGATGGATCCATTCTGCTGCGCCTAATGTCGACTCCAGTGATGAATTGCTACAAAACGGATTTTTGAAATCTTAATGCTCAAAGTTCTCATCAATTATTTGTCAATGAAGGATGAGTCGCTACCAAAGATAGAAGGATATGAAAAAAATTGAGTGTGTTTGAATTTTTCTGTTTTATTATTTTCCTGTAATAATCACAAACAAATGCTCTCAATGCTCTCTAACTTTGTAACCTGTTATGTTACTGGAGCAAGGACCAGGATTATTACCTGAGCTGATGGGAAAGCTGTCTACCCACAACTGCTTTGTATCTTTTTCACCTTTAATGTGTTGTTTTGCAAGTTATTGTTGATATCATTAGTCGTTGTCCTTTATCAAACTGCAGTGTAGGTCAAGTAGGTTTGGGCGCTTCAATCTAATCGTCCTCTGTACCTTTAAGGGAACCTCACACCTTTTTTTAGCAAGCAGATCCAGTTCGATATGAGCTATCATCAATTTGTGGGAACCCTTATTCCCACAGTGGAGCAGATGAGAAGGCACTATCGCTAGCGCAAGCAGCCTTCGCCACTAGTGCAGCATTAGTTAAGCATCCGCAGGAAGAGGTCACAATTTTCCTCTGCTGTTATTTTCTTCTGCAACTTCTTTATTTCCAGTTGTATCTCTCTCTCTCTTTCTCTTTAGAGATGTGCATGTTTGCAGCTTGTGTTTTTTTGGGTGTCCTTTTATTTCCACCTTACCCGTGCTTGGAGTGTCCTTTTGGCTGTGAATGTTTTGCGGCCACCCACACGGTGAAATGTGTCTCTAAGGATTTGCTCATAGTGCCACAAAACATTCCAGGATACACCCGGAATGTCATCATCACAGGGAATAATATACATCAAATCGGACCCGAGTCGTTTACAGAACTGCAGAATGTCACTAACTTGATTTTAAGCAATAACAGGTGAGAATGTCATTATGTGTTCCTGTTATGTATTTTTATGCCATATCTGGTTAATACAAGTAACTTTGTTGATGTCTACGTAATAAAGAAATAAAGGCTTTATTCTTGGCTGTATTTATTCATCTTTTTGTGATTTTATATATATTACTTACCATTAGTATTGTATCAAACGTGTAAGAGCAGTTTTTACAGTGTTAGTCGTCTTCTCAGGATTGCAGAGTTGGCCTCTCACACCTTCGCTGCCCTTCCCTACCTACGCTCCTTGGACCTCAGTGGCAACCAGCTGGCGCTCATCCATCCAGAAGCTCTCAGCATACCTGGAAGCCCTCTTCAGGAGCTCAACCTGAGCCGCTCGCTGCACAATTTCACCGCCTTGACAGACCTGGCCACAGCTCTTCGATGGGGTGGACTCTGGGGTCTCAAACGCCTTGACCTTTCTGGAAACCATTTAGCCCTTCTATCGCCTGGGATGTTCTCCCAAGTTCCCAGTTTGAAGCAGCTCTTCCTCAGGAACAACGCTTTGGTGGCTGTCTATGCAGGGACCTTCTCTGGTATTAATCAGCTGGAGATGCTGGACCTGACACACAATAACTTTGAGGCCTTCAGGGCTGACGCTCTTCAGGAGCTGGAGAGACTTGGGAGCGCTCAAATCTTTCTTGGCCACAACCCATACACCTGTTCCTGTGAGAGCCGTGATTTTGTGACCTGGCTGAATAAAACCAAAGGTCGTGTTGATGTGGATATGGTGAGGTGTGCGTCACCAGAGGAATTGGCTGACGTTCGGCTACAAAGACTCACCGTCCAAGCCGTTGGTTGTGTAGTTCCGGTCCTGGCTGAGGGGACTGACCTCACCTTGCAGACGTCCTATGTTTTTCTTGGGGTGGTACTGGGTTTTGTCGGCATGGTTTTTCTCTTTGTGCTCTACCTAAATCGCAATGGTATGAAGAAATGGATCATAGAAACGAGGGATGCATGCAGGGACGTTCTGGAGGGCTATCACTACCGATACGAGATAGACTCTGACCCTCGGCTGGGCCACATCACAGCTGGTGGCGGCAGGCCTCAGAGGCATCCGGGGCAGGGGCTGTCCCTACAGCTGCCAAATGACACCTGTATAATCCAGAGCCCCACAGAAACACAGGTCTCCCCGGTGGCAACATCCCCTCCTGTAAAGTCATGATCTTGGAATGTCATTTTCAAAAGAATATGAGATAGTAGTACATAAATAGAATGTAGTTACATTTAAAAAGTAAAACTCACATTCATTATCCAGAGTGATTTGTTTTAAGAGTTTATTTCTTCATTTCTGTATAATCATGACTTGGAGACCAATAATGAAATAATTTAAAACAGCACAACGTTATATTATATTTGACAGTCATGTAGAAAACAGCTGATGTGACAGACATCCAGCAAGCAGTCATTGTCCACCCCCTCCGATCAGGGTGCGTTACAGAAAGGAAGCTGCAAAAGAAGCTGACTGCTTTATTGAAGCATATAATTGGAAAATTAGGAGGGAGGAAAAATTCGGGTCAAGTAAAAATGCACAAGCACAGAAATGATAAAATCCAGATTCTATTTAGAATCAAGCACAGGTGGGTAGAGTACACAAATGTTTTACCCAAGTAAGAGTAGGACTACTTTTACATTTTTTTAACTGAAGTAGTAAGTAGTCATCCAAGAAATTTTTCAAGTAACACACTTCATAAAATAGCTACTCAAGTGCTAAGTAATTGTTTTGATTTAATGTTTAGAATGATGTAATCCTGCAGACTGTTGTGTGCAAATTCTGGTATTGAAAGTATGAAATCAAATAAAAGTAAATTAATAGAATGATAATAAAATCACAAATTCAGGCAAAAAAAAATCAACATAGAGATATAAAACCAGTCTTCACTGTAGGTAGTGCGATATCATATCTACTGTTTACCATCTAGTCACCTGATCTCGCAGTGGGGAGCGTACCCTTAAACTGTACTCAGGTATGTATAGCAAAATTTAAGAATATTACTTAAGAAGAAATAAAACAGGCCTATAGTAAAATACAACACTCCAAAAATTACTTTTAAAAAAAAAGTAACTCAAGTGAATGTAATTAGTTACAACCCACCTCTGGAAGAAAGCAAATGTGTGCTACATTTAGTAATCAAGGTTTCAAAGTTTGATGGAAAAGAGGAGAGGAGATCGACTTCATTGAGGTTCACACGGTGGTTTCTCATGTAATATGTTTATTAGATATGCCAGTTTTTATTGTTCACTTAATTTAAAGTAATTTTCAAGGAAATTAAAAGAACTGGGCTCTTAAAACCTACCACTCTGTGTTTAATGTACCTTTGTACCTGTACAATATAGGAGATGCATTTTTAAAAATGAACTACTGAAATGAAAAAAAGAAAAATATTCAGTCGTACTTTTAGAATTTCAGGAGATTTATACTGGCTGTGTGTACGTCCTTTAAAATTCACCTTTTAAAGTGCCTTTGTGTTTCCTTAGGCACTTGAATGATCTATAAATCCTTTTCAGCTTTTTAGATAACCTGTCTTGGTTCTAGTCATTGTTTACTGTATTAGCATTAGGATTATGCATATATGGTGCAATACCACTACAGATAGCATTGATGGCAGCTGAGAAGCATGGTAAATGCATGAAGAAAGCATAGGATAATTCAATTATGTATAACATTAATTATACTATATTAAAATTTTAAAGCAAGAGTTTCTCTAATTATGTAATTTTGTGTCTTTGTTGCACTTAATTGCCTTCATTGTGTCATACTTAGTTATACATTAGGAAAACACTAAGTGGCAATGGCTATATAAAATAGGTATTTCTGTTCTTTCCAAAATAAAACATTTGTTTACTAACCTTTTTTCTACACTCTATTATTGTGACTGCTGTACTGAATGGATTTCTGCAGGGAAACATTTGTTTTCCTGCAAGTGACACATCCCCCCCGCTATTTCAGCTCAGAGTATATGATAAAGTATGTGCAAGCAGTGAAAATAGGACAAAATGAAAGATATGGTTAAGAAACACACCTGCTGGCTCTGCAGCTGTGGACCCCAGCGAGCATGCCAGGCCTGCCTTGTAATGTCCCCTTGCATGCGTGCGCATTAATTACTATGGTGGTTTCCAAAGTTCCACTGCTCCTGACCTACAAAAGAATAGCTGCCCAGTCTTTTGACCCAGACTACTGAAGCATACAGATATTGCTAATGAGCTCGTAGAATGGATAATGGCAACACAAAAAGCCTCAACGAAGCTTAATAATGTTTGGAATGAATGTTTCTAACAGTTAAACCACATGAATTTCTTTAAATACTGGGACTTTATATGTTTATATATTACAGTTTGTTTGTGTGCTCATTAATATGGTGGATTCTCTTTTTTTGCAGTTGAGTCGGTATATATCTTGATCTATGAAGCCAAGCAGAGTAAGAAATAGATCAGATTAATTTTAAAACCAGTGAATTAGAAAACCCATTTTACATTATATAGATTGAGAAGAGGATAAAGTACCAACAAATTGTACTCAGGTAAAAGTAGCACTTCTTTAACATATTTCTACTTAAGAAAAAAACAAAAAGTAGCCGTCCCTTGAAAGGAATCGCGTAAGAGTAAAAAAAAGTATTTTTTACTCTTACATGTAGTTACAAGTAGTTTTACTGTTTACAAAGATGTAATCTGAAAGACCACAATATAAAGCTGTGTGAAAATTCCTTTGTTTTAAATCCTAAAACTATTGAATACAAACAAAAAATCATTGGAAAATAAAGAAACACTTCTCAAAATCTTTCTTTACCTAAAACATTGAAAACCATTTTTTACAGTATACAGTGTATGTATGTACCTCCAGTTACAATGCATACTTTTTACTTTTTATTACTTTAACTTCTACAGGTGCTGGTCATAAAATTAGAATATCATGAAAAAGTAGATTGATTTCAGTAATTCCATTTAAAAAGTGAAACTTGTATATTATATTCATACATTACATACAAACTCATATATTTCAGATGTTTATTTTGTTTAATTTTGATGATTACAAATGACAACAAATGAAAATCTCAAATTCATCATATCAGAAAATTAGAATATTGTGAAAAGGTTCAAAATTGATGGCCCCTGGTGCCACACTCTAATCAGCTAATTAACTCAAACCACCTGCAAAAGCCTTTAAATGGTCTTTCAGTCTAGTTCTATAGGCTACACAATCATGGGGAAGACTGCTGACTTGACAGTTGTCCAAAAGACGACCATCGACACCTTGCACAAGGAGGGCAAGACACAAAAGGTCATCGCTAAAGAGGCTGGCTGTTCACAGAGCTCAGTGTCCAAGCACATTAATAGAGAGGCGAAGGGAAGGAAAAGATGTGGTCGAAAAAAGTGTACAAGCAAGAGAGATAACCGCACCCTGGAGAGGATTGTGAAACAAAACCCATTCAAAAATGTGGGGGAGATTCACAAAGAGTGGACTGCAGCTGGAGTGAGTGCTTCAAGAACCACCACACACAGACGTATGAAAGACATGGGTTTCTGCTGTCGCATTCCTTGTGTCAAGCCACTCTTGAACCACAGACAGCGTCAGAAGCGTCTTGCCTGGGCTAAAGAGAAACAGGACTGGACTGCTGGTGAGTGGTCCAAAGTCATGTTCTCTGATGAAAGTAAATTTTGCATTTCCTTTGGAAATCAAGGTCCCAGAGTCTGGAGGAAAAGAAGAGAGGCACTTCATCCACGTTGCTTGAAGTCCAGTGTAAAGTTTCCACAGTCAGTGATGGTTTGGGGTGCCATGTCATCTGCTGTTGTTGGTCCATTGTGTTTTCTGAGGTCCAGGGTCAACGCAGCCACATACCAGGAAGTTTTAGAGCACTTCATGCTTCCTGCAGCTGACCAACTTTTTGGAGATGCAGATTTCATTTTCCAACAGGACTTGGCACCTGCACACAGTGCCAAAGCTACCAGTACCTGGTTGAAGGACCATGGTATCCCTGTTCTTAATTGGCCAGCAAACTCTCCTGACCTTAACCCCATAGAAAATCTATGGGGTATTGTGAAGAAGAAGATGCAATACATCAGACCCAACAATTCAGAAGAGCTAAAATGCCACTATTAGAGCAACCTGGGCTATCATAACACCTGAGCAGTGCCACAGACTGATCGACTCCATGCCACGCCGCATTGCTGCAGTAATACAGGCCAAAGGAGGCCCAACTAAATACTGAGTGCTGTACATGCTCATACTTTTCATGTTCATACTTTTCAGTTGGCCAACATTTCTATAAATCCTTTGTTTTTATTGGACTTCAGTAATATTCTAATTTTCTGATATGATGAATTTGAGATTTTCATTTGTTGTCATTTGTAATCATCAAAATTAAACAAAATAAACATCTGAAATATATGAGTTTGTATGTAATGTATGAATATAATATACAAGTTTCACTTTTTAAATGGAATTACTGAAATCAATCTACTTTTTCATGATATTCTAATTTTATGACCAGCACCTGTATATCAGCAGATAGAATTACCATTAAAACAACAAAGACTGTGTACAAAAAAGTCTAGTATTCACGGATTTTACTCAAGTGAAAGTAGGGATGCACCATTATATTACTTATGTAAAACTCAAAAGTATGGCATGGTAAAACTAGTCCTGAAATTACATATTTGTTCAAACGTTACTTAAATGTAACAGAGTAAATAGAATTAGGTCATACCCATCTGTTTAGAGATTTAAAGTAGAGAACCACTCTATATAGTGGAAATGGTCCTGGCCCCTACTAAAGACATTATACTAAATAAATGTCTTATTATGGTATGCACTGAAAACATATTTTTTTTCCTTTTCAATTTAATAATGATTTAAAATGTAAGTTGTTCCCCATTAGCTTTCATATTCAGAAATGCTCAAGTTTTTATGAGCTCAATCTTAGGTGTCCATGGGTACAAGAGGCTTTTTGGTGCAGTTAATATTTCAAGCAATGAAATATTTCCCTTTTTTGTTTGCTTCCGTTTTTTTTTTTTTTTTTTTTTTTTATTCTTTTGTTTAGTTTCCCGAATATTTTTGTTTTCATTTTGTTTATTTTGTATTTATCCTTTCTTTTTGAGAACCTTTATTCTATTTCATTTTTTTTTTTTTTTTCTTTTTACATCTACCTGAGGTGACGTCAAGACGCACCTGTGGGTGGGTCCCCTGCTGCGGCGTTAGCTGTAGCCTCAGGTGATAGCCAGGTACCAGAAGACGCTCGGCTGCTCCGGGGTCCTGCTTTCTTTCTTTTTACCAGAAAAGACACTGAACGGATGTGCTGGGGGGGTGTTGTTCGGTAGCGGCGCCGGGCTCCGGACTTCGACACAAAGTTTCTTCCTTTGTCGGATGCAACCAAAAGTCTCCTGGAAGTCGTCGGTTCTGTCGACACTCGGTCCCAGTCTGAGGCGCTAGGAGCTGCGCTGCTGCGAAGACTTCCGCGCTCCGCTCGCCAGAGCGCACAGCAACAACTGTTTCTGCTTATGCGGTAAGTGGACGCTTTGCAAGTCAAATTAAAAGCACTTGATTCTAAACGCGGGTGAGTGTTATTTGCACAAATCTTCTGGACCTTACAGTTAATTCATCAAAAGGGATTATGTGAAGGCAGCAATCCGGTAGTTGCTCTAATTTTCAATCCTTTAATCCTAATTTTACTACTTTCTCCTACATTGGAGGCTAGGATTCGTTTTTTAAACTGTTTTGATTCATCAGATTTACTGCTTTAAACCAAACTAGAGCTTCATTCATTGTATTTAAATAAAAGATCACTTTGGGAATTGTGAAATCTTACCCAGACTGGCTCTACAGAGGTGCAAAAGCATGCAAAAGACAAGCATACCAAAACCTGCTAAAGCATGTGAAGTAATATTCATCAAAGTAGAATGGCATGTAAACGTGAGGACTGAGATAATTCACACACACAAAAAACACCTGTTGCAAATATAAACAATGCAAGATATACACATACACTGGAAAACTGGTGAAAATTAATAAGCAAACTAGAAAAAAGTGCCTAAAATGTTGACAAAAGTTTTAAAAGAGCAGCAGAACTAGAACTGAATAAAAACATCTATCAAAGAGATCAAATGCAAAGTAATGAAAATCAACCGTAGTGAAATGACAGGAGAGCAAAATAAAACGGCATTTCATTTCTGATTGAATAAAAAAGTTTTAGAAAATTAAACATGTGCATTTAAAAAACAGTAGTTTAAAGACCATAAAATCACATTTAGAAATGCAGTAGAACCAAACCAAATATTATTTTTTCCATTTAGGGTAAAATTTATTGAGATCAAGTAAAATACTTTATATCAAATTAAAGCTAAAATAGAACAAACTTGATTAATATTGGTAAACGGATCATATAAAGTAGAAACTAGATAATATCAGAGCATTTGAAAAACTTAGTCTTTAATTTAAATAATCAGAATTTATGCAGAGCTTTTCTAGTCATGGAGGCCAATCAAAGCATTTCTCACTACACCAACACGCACACTTATGCATAGATCAGCAGCTAAATGCCTTGTCAATGGGTGAATCCTAACATGGCAGAGAAAATAGGGCATCGAGCCCACCACATGTTTATTGATAAACATAAAAATAGTTCTGAATGGGTGTGTGATGCATGATAAGGTTAATCATGTCACACTAAATAAACATTACAAATGATAAGTTATCTACTCAGCTGCTACTGCATTTTGCTTTTCAATCTTAGCCAAGAGGTTTTATCCCAAAAGCTGCTTGTGATGGACGGCTGATGTTTTTACATGAAACGGCTTGATTGTAGTTTGTAGAGACTTGGCCACCATACCATTTCTTTTTCTAGTAAAACCTTTTGCTGTAATCTAATCTCACTGAATATGCTAAAGTCACTGAAAGCTTAGTCTACATTATTTAATTAACTACAGATATTTATACAGGTTGCTTAATCTGATATTGCAATGTTTGCTGTATACGTTGAAGGTTTAGAAGGAAAAATAAATTAATAGAAGAGGCATTAAAATCAAAATAAAGTGCAACAGAACCAAAAAGGATGAAGCTTTTAGACTCAGCTTTATTTATCCTTTGGGATTACTCCTTCTGATTCCAGTAGCTTATATAGAGTACAAAGAGTTAAAGAAAGATGCTATTAAAGATTTAAAAAAATATATGACAGAAAATATAAAAAGAGTGTATATAGTACAAAAAGACATAAAAGAAAGAAGTTGTAATGTCCTGGAATATGTTTCCCTTAAATATACGATTAAGAGCTAAAGGAAGACTACATAGTAGTTGACTTGGGTTATTCCACTTGCACTGCAGAAATGTACTAACCATATAAATAAGTTAAACTTAAACAGACTACACAATAGTTGAATTGGATTATTGCACAGTGGGAGAGAAAAATATAACACATGAGTCACAATAGGTAATGTTTTGAATTACCTTACTTACTTATTGATAGAGAAGAACATATCATACCTTAAACATGAGGGTAAATGTGACAAGTGTTAATTTAATTAAAATGAAGGCGAAAAATGTCTCATTTTATTTCCAACAACCATGGCGGTGAATTTTAGTTTTAACTTTGGGTTCTGACACAAGAGCCGAATGGTTTCAAAGGTGAATGGAATCAGCAGAGATGAACCAATTTATCAAAAAAATAGAAATGTGTGTAGTTTTTTTGAGGCATCGAACAACAGCATATTCTTCTGGAAATGCACATCAGTTGATTGTAAATCAGGTTAAGTTTAGAGGACAGGCTTTTATCCATAAAAAGGAATCAATCTTTGTCATTCATGTCTGTTAAACAACAACTACATTTATTCCCTCATGTGTTTTAGTCCTTAAGCTATGGAATAAAAAGAAACAGTTCATTTAGGTCAGAATTTCCAAAGAATAAGCTGCAGGAGTCTGAGTTTTTTTTCCTCTCTGTAGGTCTGTCTCAGTGATGTGAAGGAGGAGTCGCGTCCACTAACCTGTGAGCACCACTCTTCCCCTGCAGGTCCCAGGTGTTTTGAGCCATGCCTGGCCACAGCTCAGGGGCTCCGCAGACGTCCCACCACTACAAGCACCACAACTCAAGCTCTAAAGCGGACAAGTACAGACAAAGTCGAACTATATACAGGGAGAGCACAGTCAAACATGACCTCAAGGATCTTCATGGAGAACATCTACACGAACACCGCAATGAACACCCTCGGTATTCAGAAAACAAGAACGGCCGAAGCAGAGGACACCAAAGAAATGGCACAGCTCGGGGCTCGGAGACTATAGGATTTATACCCGGGTCGGCCGACAGCACGCCGGCCAACAGGCCTGCATGTGGCTCCTGTGCCTCTATGGGTTGGAGTGGCTGCAAGGCCCTCATCTGTTGTTTGCTCACCTGTGGATACTATGGCAGCCGAGACCCCTGTCTGCCTGTTAATGAGAGCTCCACAGACCACCCATCCAAAGCAGGTGCTGAGCCTTCTAATTGCATGGTGCTGAACAATCCAACCTGCGGCATCTCTGTTGAGTCCAGCAAGCCCACTAAAACCACCAAGTTACCAACAAGCGAAAGCTTCCGTTACCCAGATGTTCGTTTCAGAGGTGAGATAGTAAATTACCCACTGAATCCCACCAAACGGACCCGTCAACCAGCCAAAGGAGAGAGCCAGAGACCTAGCAGCAGTACCAGCCTTTTGTCCAACGACTACTATGACTTGGACGACCCGTGCGACAGCACAGACGTTGACTCTCTTATCACCAAGAAGCTCCTGGAGCTTTACGCCCTCCATCAGATCGAAGAGCTGGCCAAGTGCACGTCCGATTCCTCTTTCTTCCGCAAGACCAACGAGATAAGCGAACTCATCTACAACATAGCCCAGAACTACAATCTGGAGGAGCAGGAAGCCGAGTGCAAGCTGGTGCGAGGGGTCATCCGCATCAGCACACGGAAGCCCAAGAAGAAGCCCAGCCATCAGCCAGCGGGGCAGCGTCCTAACGGCAGGAACGACGGGACGCTGCCTGATAGCGGCAACGAGACCATGACGCAGACCTTCATGAGCAGCGATTGTAAGGAAATAAAGACTCTTGCTTGTTTTGCAGTTAATTCAAAAATGGAAAGTATTTATGATCCACTTAGGTATTCAGCAGCTCGGAGGCTTTAGAGTAGCAAATATTGTAAACATCTGACCGGTCTTCCCCCAGTGACTCATAGTCTGTTGGAACGTTGCAGCCTTTGTTTAGCTCAGAGTCAAAAGCTTTAACTCACCAGACGCTCTGCAGGCGATGGCTATAAACAATCAGTTAATCTGGGGCAAGCTGACACAAGTACACATGGTTTACCAAAACACTGAAGTAGCAGATGACCAGATTATTTCTCACTTTCAGAGCACAGCAGCTCCACCTTTCTTCACTGTGTCCTTTTTATTTCCTGCTGCAGTTCCAGAGGTGAAAGTGTCCGAACTAACGCCGTCAGACGAGCTGGCCAGGAAGATGAGACCGTACAGCTCAAGAAGTAAGTACATTTGGGGAATTTTCCAGTTGCATAGCCGGACTTTTTTTTTTTCAGATTTTTCCTTGTCGTTGTGGGTGAGCGGGTGTTGCACTTTAAGCCATGACAACCCGCTCCGCCACCCCATCCTAAGGCTGTGTTCCAGTCTCAGTCTGTGACCCATTGTGCCCACTGCAGCTGTAGGCATCTTCTCAACTTCTCCCTTATTTTCCAGCATACCTTGCTTTTTCAGAGCGCTGCAGTCCTGCACTTTTCTTCAGGTATCACAATTATTGGTTTGTGAGAAACTTCCTCCCCACCTCCGCCATTGACCGCTTACCTCACCCCCCCACGCCCCAAGCTCTGCAGTCATGCTACCCAATCTGCTTAAGCAGCAGATTAAACAACATTAAATATCTGTCCCCTTATTTATGATGTAACTTTAGCAAACAACTTGGGTTACAGAAGGATTACAGTACAGCAGGCATTCACCCCCCTTTGCCTGTCGCTCTTATGCGAAGAGGCTGTGAGTGTCCTGTTACATGTCTTTGAATAAGGGTACAGCACATTGTGTTTCCAAAATGATCACAATGAAGCCTGGGAATGTATCAACAGCCTGGATTAAAATCACCATACCTTTTGCACTTTCATATGTTTGCACGTTTTGTCACAATGAGAAAATTCCATTAGAAAAAAGAAATGCTTATATGAAGTATGGAAGAAGAGGATCTGCTTTGAAGGCCAAAATGCAACATTGAAGCCAAGATGTAAACCGTTTTGTGTTGCAAAACGTAACGCTGCACATTACCCTTAACACACTATTCCCATATTGAAGCATGGCGAGGGCAGCATCATGGTGTGGGAATGCTTTCCTTAATGTAGGAAAAGGGAAGCTCATCGGTCTTAATATAACGCATGGAGCTGAAGCGGTTTGGTGTTGATAAGCCAGGTATTAAAGAAGTCTCGGTTATGTCTGTGGGAGCTCTGAAACAAATCTAGCTAAAAGAAAGCTGTTTTTACAAGAAAACTTTAAAAAGTCCCATTTCCAGTTTGCAACATACAATGTAGGAGATTCAGTGAAGAATTGGAACATTTAACAGTTTGACCTTCTTGCCTCCAAAATATTGAGCGGTAGAAAATCAATGTGGATCACCCTGATCCACACAAGTATTTAAGAAAAAAATCTTACACAGGGCAATTCAAAGGCTTTTGTGAGCTAACAAATTACCAGATAAGACATATAATACATAAAAAGGACAATTGTTATGATGTAAATAGAAAACTTTAGATTCAAATTAAGCAACTAAGAAGCTAAGAGATGGTAGACTCCGAACAGATAAAGCAGTATTTGGGTTAAAAGTCAAAACTGGAATAAAATTAAAATGTTATTTCCTGATTTAAAGAAAGCTGACATTTTTTTTTTGTTTTTTCATTCCTACTTGACACTCAACCCAAAAATCTGCCCTGGCTCAATTTCATTCAGTTCCTTATTGACTGTCAACAGGATTTTAAAAAATCCTCTCATTCTACAAATCCTTATGCGATGCAGCCGTTTTCCTGCTATGCTTGTTTCTTTCTCTAAATAATAATGATAAACGACAACTCTTTTCTTTGTAGATAGAAAACCTTTGATTCTGGATGTTTCACATGGTAGCAAGCAGAACTACTATCAAATCTTAAATCTTGACATTTGAGGGTTTTGTTTCCTCTGTTTGGAGCTTGGCTGAGCTATTTCAAGCTTTTAGTTTATTCATTGAACCAAAAACAAAATTTTAAGAAAACTGAGTTCTTTCTAGATTATGCTAAAGGAAAAAGCTCTAAAAAATGTCTCCCTATATAAATCACGGGGCTGGAAGCAGATGCTGTCTGAATGCTTTTCTTCAGTAGAGATATCAAAGCTAGTTAATGAGAGGATTTCTAAAACTAAATACAGCACAGATGTCAAAGTCAAAAACAACCAAGACCTACAGGTGCTGGTCATAAAATTAGAATATCATGAAAAAGTAGATTGATTTCAGTAATTCCATTTAAAAAGTGAAACTTGTATATTATATTCATACATTACATACAAACTCATATATTTCAGATGTTTATTTTGTTTAATTTTGATGATTACAAATGACAACAAATGAAAATCTCAAATTCATCATATCAGAAAATTAGAATATTACTGAAGACCAATAAAAACAAAGGATTTATAGAAATGTTGGCCAACTGAAAAGTATGAACATGAAAAGTATGAGCATGTACAGCACTCAGTATTTAGTTGGGCCTCCTTTGGCCTGTATTACTGCAGCAATGCGGCGTGGCATGGAGTCGATCAGTCTGTGGCACTGCTCAGGTGTTATGATAGCCCAGGTTGCTCTAATAGTGGCTTTTAGCTCTTCTGAATTGTTGGGTCTGGTGTATTGCATCTTCTTCTTCACAATACCCCATAGATTTTCTATGGGGTTAAGGTCAGGAGAGTTTGCTGGCCAATTAAGAACAGGGATACCATGGTCCTTCAACCAGGTACTGGTAGCTTTGGCACTGTGTGCAGGTGCCAAGTCCTGTTGGAAAATGAAATCTGCATCTCCAAAAAGTTGGTCAGCTGCAGGAAGCATGAAGTGCTCTAAAACTTCCTGGTATGTGGCTGCGTTGACCCTGGACCTCAGAAAACACAATGGACCAACACCAGCAGATGACATGGCACCCCAAACCATCACTGAGTGTGGAAACTTTACACTGGACTTCAAGCAACGTGGATGAAGTGCCTCTCTTCTTTTCCTCCAGACTCTGGGACCTTGATTTCCAAAGGAAATGCAAAATTTACTTTCATCAGAGAACATGACTTTGGACCACTCACCAGCAGTCCAGTCCTGTTTCTCTTTAGCCCAGGCAAGACGCTTCTGACGCTGTCTGTGGTTCAAGAGTGGCTTGACACAAGGAATGCGACAGCAGAAACCCATGTCTTTCATACGTCTGTGTGTGGTGGTTCTTGAAGCACTCACTCTAGCTGCAGTCCACTCTTTGTGAATCTCCCCCACATTTTTGAAGGGGTTTTGTTTCACAATCCTCTCCAGGGTGCGGTTATCTCTCTTGCTTGTACACTTTTTTCGACCACATCTTTTCCTTCCCTTCGCCTCTCTATTAATGTGCTTGGACACTGAGCTCTGTGAACAGCCAGCCTCTTTAGCGATGACCTTTTGTGTCTTGCCCTCCTTGTGCAAGGTGTCGATGGTCGTCTTTTGGACAACTGTCAAGTCAGCAGTCTTCCCCATGATTGTGTAGCCTATAGAACTAGACTGAAAGACCATTTAAAGGCTTTTGCAGGTGGTTTGAGTTAATTAGCTGATTAGAGTGTGGCACCAGGGGCCATCAATTTTGAACCTTTTCACAATATTCTAATTTTCTGATATGATGAATTTGAGATTTTCATTTGTTGTCATTTGTAATCATCAAAATTAAACAAAAAAAAAATCTGAAATATATGAGTTTGTATGTAATGTATGAATATAATATACAAGTTTCACTTTTTAAATGGAATTACTGAAATCAATCTACTTTTTCATGATATTCTAATTTTATGACCAGCACCTGTAATACATTGTTTTTTTTTAAAACAAAATATTAATCATTTCAATCATTCAATCATTCAAATACTTTTATTATATTAATAAACTTATTAAGATAAATACATAAATGAAAGTGCATGCATTTTAAACGAAAAATGTATTAATGTCCTGCTCTATGATCCTACTGATCAATGATTTCAAATGGTAAAATAAGAAAAAAAAGAAATCAAAGCAGTTGTATTCTCTCTCATGGCTATTATTTGCATTTGTCCCTGAGTCCATTCAACTGATAAATATGAATAAATAAAATACAAAAATCTGTGGCACATAGACAAAACAATACTTCCTTCAAAGAAAAATCATGTCTTGTACAAAGAAATGTAACAATTTTGTGATGAATCACAGCAGCGGACCCAGAATTCAGCCAGAGGTTCTTTTTAAAAGCACACCAGGCACAAAATACCGGGAGGTGAACAGACGGCCCAGTCAGGGCAGAGGTCCACGCCTGCAAGTACCTCTCCGTCTCAATTAGAGTATCGTGCAGATCCATCTCTTACCTGCAGGATCAGCTCCGCTCCTCCCTCTATCCAGGCTCCTTTTATTTTGGCTTCAATCGGCCTCTGCTGACACCTGCGTGCAGCGGTTGCGGTGCGCAGTTGTTGCACTCTGCCTCCTTAGACAACTGATTTCAGCCCAGCTTGGATTGTTAAAGAGGGAAAAGCAAAAACCAAAACAATCCAAACATGCAAGGCACAACAAAATAAAATAAAAATAAAAGGAAAAACACAATCATGTTTTCTCCTGGGTATGTAGTGTTGGTGTGTGCAACACAACCGCACCAAAACTACAATCCCCACGATATAACGGTAGCCCAGGAAGTCACAGCAGTGTGCACAAGCAGCCGTGACCTGTGGGCCGGTTCTAATGGTAATTAATATCATCCAGGGGGCTATATATATATATATATATATATATATATATATATATATATATATATATATATATATATATATATATATAATCGAAGACCAGAGTCTGAGTGATGTTTTATTTTGAAAAATATTAAAAATTGCGGTATTCTCTCCCAATTACATCAGTCGGTGCATCTGTGCCTCTTGACACAGGTCAATTCAGGTCAAGACTCATCCTATCTATAACATCCTATCTTTGTGAAGCGGGATTTTCTGCGGTTACAGCGACCAAAACAAAGCTACGGAGCTGACCGGACATCAGGAGCACACTTCGTGTGTCATTGTCTCTGATTACGCCTAGATGGGACAGGCTTGTTGTTTTATTTTTATGCTCTTTGTATTTGATTTTATGCCAGTCATATCATTTTACTTGATCGCATTCCACCCTCCCTGCTCGCTCTCACTCGTATTGAAAAACACCACCTCCCATAGTCTAAAATCCGGGCCTCCGTGAACAACTATCGATATCAGGGAAACTCCTGGAACTTCCGGGAGACTTGGGATGTCTGTAAAAGTTCAGGTTCCAGACAGATAAACCACCCGAGAACAGTACTACATCGTTTTAAACTTCTTCAGCTTTTTATCTGTAGCCATTTTCCCTCTGCTTCACAATCATGCCCTTCTGAAAAACTTCATCAGTCCCAATTCCATTCAGTTGAAGTTTGTGTTTTGATCAAATGTGGAAAAGTTCATTAAGACCAGTCTGTATCCATTAATCTTTATTAAAGGTATTGTGGAGGATTTTTTAAAAGGCCCGCCCGCTCTCTCCATTAAAAATAAAATGCACACGCACAACCCTGTACCCGCTCCCGAGAGGGAGCGCCTATTAATCGCATGCACGAGGCCGTTTCTCCTCATGCAAGCTCTGTTTAAAAGGTACTGTCCATGAGCTCATACAAGCTTACTGTGCCGGATCCTCACACGAAATGCCTAAATCCCTCAATCACTATATAGAGCAGGGACCATATAATGGACTTTATAGCAAACTTGGTTACCTTACCGTTCGGACAGATGATCACTACTTTTTGCTCCCTGTTTGTCATTTTAACTCCTCTTCCACTGCGTGGTGCCTGCGCCATCTTTATTAGTCACCGCTGTTGGGTAGTGACAGTGGGCCTTTGTGACAGCAAATCCCATAATGCTTTGCGCAAAACTTTCTGGTATATATCTGCCCCTTCTGATGCCTTTTTCTTCACATACACTTCGTAGACACTTTTTCTCTTATGACCCATGGGCCATTTTCAAAGAACCACGGAGAGAAAGGAGAGCTTCAATGACTGTCTGAAACCGTAGCTCACCACAGATATACGCCTGAAAGTGCACATGGCCAGAAAAAGATAGCTAATTGGGGACGAGAATGTAGGACGGCCTTATGTAAATATATCACCATAATGATATGACAATTAGGAGGACCACTTATTTAGATGATCCATCCTGAAATAAAAGATCATCCTCTATACCTTTAATGCTTTTTTTTCTTTCTCTTTCAGCATATTCCTCCAGCACCACCACCGGCTACTCTCCCTACCAGCATGACACTGGAACAAACTCCTCAGGAGCTCCTCTGCTTATATGAAACGCAATGCAGAGACTAGAATGTCTATTTACAGACAAATCATGTAGCCTCTTCTTTTATACTGTTACTGAGCAGAGCACCTTTATCCTAGATGGGTTAGTTCTCCATTAATTGGTCAAATATATATATATTTTTTACCTTTTCTAAAACGTGACCAGCAGAGGAGACCCTTTTCCAGTTTTTCTTAATTTTTTTTTCGATGGCAAAAGGTTGCAAGCTTTTACAAATGGAGTGTTTTAGGTGTAGAAAGTGACTTAAGTAAAAGTTCAACAGCAAGGAGGCCAGAGGATCAATGCATCGGGACAGAACCGTCCTCATTCTTGGCTTTGTTATTGTTTATACAGGATATCCTATTCTGCATGTACAGCTTTATGTCTCCAACCATTTCTCTAGACTACTGAGACACATTTTGTTGTTTGTTTTTTTTTTACTTACAGATTGTTTTAAGCCATATTTTGATGTACATATCAAGACAATGTTACTCTGTACCATTTGGATATTTTTTTTGTTATACAGCAAGTCATGTTTTTAAGAAAATAAGAATTTCAGTGCTTGTTTGTTTTTTTTTGTTTTTATTTCTATTGTGTTTTTTATTAAAGCTGTTGTTATGCATGCTGCTCTAAGTGCAACGTTTTCTTATGATTTGTAACACAAACCAAATTTCTGTTCAAACCAAAAGCTGCTCATATTAAGCTCTTCACTTTTGAATATTTCTTGTGTCGATAAATATCTCTGTGAATTTTTCTCCGTAGCCCACTTTTCTTTTCTTTTTTTTGTCTTTTATCTATGGGATTGTTGTCAGGCTCATCTCCCCGAGGTCAGTGTTGCAGCAGGCAGGCTTTTTCCGCCCTCAGCAAAAGAAGGAACTCGTTTGGCTGGTTCTGACTGAAGGGAAATAAAATCCAGGGGTTTGTCTTTGTCATTTATTGCAAAATGAACACTGAGCACCGAAAACCAACACAATTTCAGGATTGTGTCCTGATCATTTTTTGTCTTTTTAGGTCAAACATACTTTATTTTCTTTTTATGACAGAGGTCAAAAGGCTAAATCTTTTAGCTGCTGTTATCTACAACCATTATGTCTCTGTTGTAAAACCAGGACAAGATTTTAAATGAATAAAACTCCTGAGCAATCTTAAGATCTTTTCATTTCCTTTGGAAGCAGATGAGATTATTTCCTTTTGAGTCGTGTAGAAGCAATGGTTGCCCCACAAAGCTTAAAACACAGCATGTAATTATCTATTTTCAGTGCCTGAATTCAGGCTTTTCAGGCTTTTTTTTTTTCTTCCTCCCCTTCTGTTCATGTTGTAGTTTCCCTGCGTAACCCCGTTTCCTCTGGCTCACTGCCCCCGCTGGCACATTCCTGTTTTACCTGTACACGTTGTCATGTAAAGACACATAGTTTCACAACTTGCATGCATACCAAACAGTAGGATGAGCGAGGACTGAGCAGGCCTGTTGCCTATAAACCGCAGGATTCACACTGTCAGGATTTTTACATGCGTTCCCCCGTTCGGCTCTCGCATGTCGTTTTCTTTTCAACCTTTTGTGGAGGAAATGAGTGGGGAGAGGGGACTGGTATTTTTTAAAAGAAGAGAAAATTAAAGACCTGTTTTCTGGAAATCTGACTTGAAAATCTGGAAATCTGGGGGAAGAAAAACAATTCTATCATTTTCCATGAGAGGGAGACATAGGGCTATTATTGGAATCACTAATAACTCAATATATACTAAACAAATGCAAGTAGGGAGGTATCCCTTATTTAAGAAAAGCTTTTAACATTTTCTCACTTTGTGAATTTGATTAAGGTGGTAATAAGTTCAGGATTGTAAAATGGAAGAAATGACAGCATAAGACTAAAAGTTAAATAACAGTTAAACTGACATCTTTTTGCTTTGATATCCTTTGGAAAATGAATTTAGAAGAAAAATCCGGTTAAAACGGATGTTTGCAACAAGCTGCGCAGGAGGCATTGAAACAAAATTAACAGATTTATTTAGAAGAAACAGATTTACTCAGTTGCAAACAAATTATTTGTGGAAAACTAACACAGCACCTATCCATAAAAATGTGCTAGCATCATGAAATGGTGAGGCCTTTCTGTTAGTAGGAAGAAAGCTGGTCAGAGTGGATTGGAAGATCACATACAGGACACTACTGGAGGACAGGATGGAGGATTCATTAGACCAGGGTGCTGGACTCATTTAGAGCCACGAAATATTACATGAATTTTTTAATAAGAAACAATATTTTGGTTGAATATATGCCACTGGCATTCGTTTTTTCTTCGTAAACAACCAACCATTTATCTGTATTTTTGGCTTTTAGGAAAAACATAAAACATTTCATAAAGATGACACATGTTTTATTCTTCTGAAAGATACTGTAAAAAATAAAACAATTTCTAAGCAAATAAAATAAAAATATCTCTTTTTTCATGTATTTCTGTTGTAAAAAATCAAATAATCTTTATAACAACCACTAAGCTTCTAATACTGGTATTATTGCACATTAGTTAGTTCTTTATATAATTTTTAGCCTCCATTTAGAGCTATTGTAGGGGGTCCATATATATATAGGTCATATTGATGTGTTAGAATGGCCCGACCAGAGTCAAAACATTGGCTTCAGTTTCACTTATTCAAATCACAACATATACACTCACCGGCCACTTTATTAGGTACCCCATGCTAGTAACGGGTTGGACCCCCTTTTGCCTTCAGAACTGCCTCAATTTTTCGTGGCATAGATTCAACAAGGTGCTGGAAGCATTCCTCAGGGAGTTTGGTCCATATTGACATGATGGCATCACACAGTTGCCGGAGATTTGTCGGCTGCACCTCCATGATGCGAATCTCCCGTTCCACCACATCCCAAAGATGCTCCATTGGATTGAGATCTGGTGACTGTGGAGGCCATTTGAGTACAGTGAACTCATTGTCATGTTCAAGAAACCAGTCTGAGATGATTCCAGCTTTATGACATGGTGCATTATCCTGCTGAAAGTAGCCATCAGAAGTTGGGTACATTGTGGTCATAAAGGGATGGACATGGTCAGCAACAATACTCAGGTAGGCTGTGGCGTTGCAACGATGCTCAATTGGTACCAAGGGGCCCAAAGAGTGCCAAGAAAATATTCCCCACACCATGACACCACCACCACCAGCCTGAACCGTTGATACAAGGCAGGATGGATCCATGCTTTCATGTTGTAGACGCCAAATTCTGACTCTACCATCCGAATGTCGAAGGAATCGAGACTCATCAGACCAGGCAACGCTTTTCCAATCTTCTATTGTCCAATTTCGATGAGCTTGTGCAAATTGTAGCCTCAGTTTCCTGTTCTTAGCTGAAAGGAGTGGCACCCGGTGTGGTCTTTTGCTGCTGTAGCCCATCTGCCTCAAAGTTTGACGTACTGTGCGTTCAGAGATGCTCTTCTGCCCACCTTGGTTGTAACGGGTGGTTATTTGAGTCACTGTTGCCCTTCTATCAGCTCAAACCAGTCTGGCCATTCTCCTCTGACCTCTGGCATCAACAAGGCATTTCCGCCCACAGAACTGCCGCTCACTGGATGTTTTTTCTTTTTCGGACCATTCTCTGTAAACCCTAGAGATGGTTGTGCGTGAAAATCCCAGTAGATCAGCAGTTTCTGAAATACTCAGACCAGCCCTTCTGGCAACAACAATCATGCCACGTTCAAAGTCACTCAAATCACCTTTCTTCCCCATACTGATGCTCGGTTTGAACTGCAGGAGATTGTCTTGACCATGTCTACATGCCTAAATGCACTGAGCTGCCGCCATGTGATTGGCTGCTTAGAAATTAAGTGTTAACGAGCAGTTGGACAGGTGTACCTAATAAAGTGGCCGGTGAGTGTACATTTCTTGCTCTTCACAATGATGTACTACTTAGTGTTTTTCTTTTAACATAAAAATAATACCTACACTGAAGTTTGCATTGTAGAGTAACAAAATGCACAAAGTTATAAGCTGCATTATACGTTTTCCAAGTCTTGTAACTTTTTTCTTATCATTTACGCTCTCTTATCTTTACAATATGGCACCTGCTTAGGAGTGTGGCACACAGTAATCAACTTTGTTTTACATTTTTCAAGATGATTTAAATAAGCAGAAATGTTTAAGAAACTCAAATTCTTGCCTTGGATACACTTGAAGGAATTAAAAAAAATATTTCCATAGTGCGATAGCTGAGCTGAGCTGTGAGTCTGAGAGTGTCGTGGTACCCAATGAAGGTCACAACCGCATTCATGTATAAAAATATATTTATTTCAAGTCTTTGTGTTGAAGTAAGTAACATTAATATAAAACAACAAAAAAAGAACATCAAGTATAGTGACAGAATGACAAAGTCTGTGGAAAGACAAGGCTTTCTTTTTAGAAGAGAATTTCTGCTCAGGTTGGGCTAACCTGACCACAGCTTCTTTGAAAATGGAAGCAAAGCCTAACCCCATGTAGAAAAATAACAGTTTCTTTTGTCTATTTTTGGAGCTTGCAAGTAACACTGCGTGATCACTTCGCTAGTGGGACTTTCTCCAGAGTCTTGACAGTTATTATGGATTTCTACAAAAGAGCATGTCGACCAGCAGCTCCAGCAAGTTGGCCTGGCCGATCACGGGCCGGAAGAAGAGCTCGGTGATGAGGCTGGGCGTGATGCCCTGAAGCATGGAGGCTGTGAGGAGGATCCGAGCAAAGCGCTCCTGGTGCCCTGGATGAAGGAGCTGGACCACCTCGCTCAGGGCGTGCTGAGCTTCCTGCTGCAGTCCTTCTACAAAAAGGCCCGCCTGTAACTCTGGTACATCTGTTGTAACAAAATAAAGGGAGGGTTAAGTTTAGAAATAAGGCACTGTCTCACTGCATGCATGTCTTGGAGGGGATTTGTTTTAATACAAAGATAATCCACAATAGTTAACTTACCAGGGTTAAATATTGTGGTCCCTTTCAGATATGCATACTCCTTTGGGCTCAAATCCAAACTCCAAAACTTTTTCAGACAGCTCTTCAGTTTGCTGACGCCTGCCATGGTGGGCTGCTCCCGCTCCATCTCGGGGCTCTCCTGACGGTTCAGGAGAATCTTCTTCAGCAGGCTGTCTGCTGGAACGTCTGTCACGTCGAAGTCCACATGCTCCTGGGCCAGACCCAGGATGAAAAGTGGCGCCCAGCAGCTTTTCAGAAGGGAGTACTGGTCACTTTGTGGCAGCTGATTGAAAGCCGGTAGGTTTCTCATGAAGTGGACAGTTTTGACCAGAACTGCAGAAGCGTCCTTGCAGACCTCCGAGGGTCTGAGCAAGCACACTGTCCGTCGCACCTCACAGTTACATTTGTGAGGAGCTGAGCTGTTGCTGAAGGTCTGTTGGCTTGGTTCGCCAGTATCCATTCGGCTCAAGATGTTGTAAAGGATAGGATTTAAAGACCTATCACCACTGGTCGAGCAGTTACATCTGCTGTCCATCTTTCTCTGATCAAGATGCAGCTGCTGAGGCAAACTTCTCTGTGTGAGAGCAGATGGGTATTACTGCTTTCTCCAGTCTCCCTTTACTTATAAGGCCACCCCCCACCCCGCCTCCTTGTTGGACCTTGAAATGTCAATACACTCTCTGTGAAAAACAACCATGTGCTCTGCCAGGTGACTGCTGGAACAACCCTGGGAAACAGATAAGCTTTTCTCAATGAAAAGTAGCTGCTGGAGTAACACATGGAAATCATGAGGGATTGGCCTTATCTGGAAGCTGGTGTCATTAACCCAGGCAGTACCAAGCTACCAAGGACTGCAGAGGTAATCGGCCTCCCATCGTGTCACTGCACCCGCCACCTAACACCTGCAGGGCTGGAACGAGGCAAGAACACAAAAAAGGCCAATGACCTTTACATTGTGTCTCCATTAAGTGGTTTTTTATCTGAATAAACATTTAAACTGGAAGCAACGGGGGAATTTTTTGGACTTGTTTTGAGAAAGCTGATCAGTAAAAGTGCTAAAAAAAAATAGAGAGGCAGAGATTCCAAAATGGAAAAGTATAAACTCTATTTGACTGATTCCTTTCCCTCTTAAGAAGGATCAAGCAGCTTGTTAAGCAGACAAACAAGACAAAGCTTTATAATTTTTTTAGGTTATTTAAAGTGAAAGGATGTACTATTAGCCCTGCATGCACTTGTCCTGGGGCTGACTCTTTCCTCTTAATTCCCTTCTCCTCTCTAAACAGTGAAACAAAGACAGCTGGAGGTAAATCTATCTGCCTGATTTCCATGGCTAATCATATGACGGTAGAAGTTCAGAATGAAGTGCAGATGAAACCGGTTATATAAATGCACTGTATAAAAAGACAAATTCATCCTTCCTCCATCCATCCTCCATATCAGGCCTGTTTTAAATGTGCTACAATTGCTGGCATCGTTCTATTTTCCTAAGTGGATTAATCGGGACCCAGGTCATACAGTTTTCCTCCATCCATCCCTCACAGGTTTCTTCTCATTCCTCCTGGCAGAACTGATGCACCTGACTGCCCACTTATTCCCTATGGGACTGAGATCAAGACATTTTTTTATGATTTACTTCTTACCTAATGTGTTGGAATGCTTTGAGTTGTCCATTTGGAGGATCCATCTGTGCCTCAACATTAACTTACCGGCTGGTGCCTGGAGATGTGGCTTAAGAATTTCTACACTGTTTGTTTTTTTTTTTTTAGCATAGTATGAACTACACAAATATCACTTCTGCTTACAAACACCCAGACAACATGATGCCACCAACTCCATACTTCACAGCTCAGAGGGTATTTTCCAGTTTATCGTTCAAGCTCCACCCAATTTCCCCCAAATGCAGCAATTGCCAACAAGGCAAAAAGGATCAACTTTAGCAGGAGATACTGTTCCACAGATTGAGGGGTCTGTTCTTGAAGGGTTTTGCAAAATGCATCTGAACTTTGATGTTTTTAGGAGAATTGACTTCTCAGGTTGATTTTCAGTCAATATTGGTGCTGAACTTCCTTCAGTAGAAAAGATCGTTAACTACCATCTTCACAAAGTCTATTTGGGTTTATTTCCTTTTTTTTTTTTTACATCAAAACATGGCCGTTATGAAGAGTAACTGTTAAAAGAGAAGAAACTTCGCCATCAGCTCATTCTTTCTGGAGGATGAACTGACCCTCCTCAGGTTTAGGGTTCTCCGCCTGATATCTGGCAGGAGCTCTCAGTTTGTGTTGCCTTAAAATAAAAACACAACTAGTTTTATGTTATATAAAGACATAGTAGCCTAATTATGGTAAGTTTAAACTTCTAAATTTAAAGAATGTATTAAAAATGTGTTTGAACTATTATAACTTCACTGAACCTTGGTTATGCTATGCAATCAGTCTTAATGTTAATGGGTTGCATCAGTGGTATTAGTTCCTACTAAGGATACTGCAGGTTTGTTGACTTTAGATAGCATTAGTCTTTCACCTGCTAAGCAGTGAGCCTGAGCTGATATTAGCTCCCTGACTCATTGACTCGAATATGAAATTCACAATCCCAACTTGTTTTATAGAATAATTCATTATCTGGTCGTTTTAGTTTAAACTGTAATATTTTTTTGTAAAATGAACCTAAAAATCCCCTTTTCCTCCTTTTAATTCATCCTTTGGCTGCCTTAATTTGAGGTTGTTATTGCTTTATGTTACTTTAAGGGTAAAAAAAACAAACCCAGTACTCTGGCTTGACGCCCTAACCCCACCCTGCTGAGCTTGCTTACTTTGTTAGTGTTTTTAAAATTATACGATTCAACTCAGACTTTTGTTTAAAATATCTTTAAATGACACTTTAGTACGCTTTCCAATTCTAGTTCAAACATCTTCCTCACAGATCTGATCATTTTTATCGTTCAAACATGTTTGCTTCTCAGATGGACCCAAGAATCAATGAAAATATTAACATTTGCTCTTCTTTTTTGTCAGTTTACAAAACTTCCTTGTTATTTTTGTTTAAGGCCCTTTAAAGATTTGATTTAGCTTACCTTAGAGAATGTTTGCGCAGATCAGACGATTAAGAAAGAGACATTAGAAGCCATCTAGTTCGATTTTTATGGGGGGGAGGGGTTTCAAAGCAGAGCTAAATGGAAAAATCAAAGATAGAAAAATCATTTTTTGTTAATGAGTTTTGGAAAAGTAAATAGTTTACAGTAGAGCAGTTTTATGGAAAGTGCTTTGCCGGGTGGTAGATAGGGAACCTGTTACTATTCTAAAGTGTCATGTTGGGTGGAGGTTTAAAGAGGACCCAAATGCAGAGACTGGAGCAGTTTCTTGCAGATTTAATAACGAAAAGAAAAAACAGAAGCAAAAATCAGCAGAATCCATACAACTTTTTGTATTGTAAATCAATACAAAAATTAACCATATTATTTTTTTGATATATCTAACAGATTTTCTAACAATACCACACAAGGCCATTTAATTTGGATTTTTGATATGAATATTTTCTAACTGTAAAATATGCCCACAGACAGAAAAGTATATGTCCTCTTTATAGTCTTTTTTTTTTTTTTTGCATGAGTTTCTGCATATAGGCCTGTGACTCTACTGAGGTGTAATGGGAGGCCCGTGAGTAGAGACAGCTTGTTTGCATAGTGGGATCTGGTGTCTATCGTCCTCTTGATGACAGTCCATAGATTCTCCATGGGGTTTATGTCAGGTCAGTTTGCTGACAATAAATCTCAGTAAAACCGTGGTCATAATGCAGAGATAATTATGTCAGCGTGGACGGGTGGAAAATCCTGCGTCTTCTTATAAAGCTTTACAGCAGAGGGAAAGCATGAGCGTCTCAAGCTAGACTGTTGGACTGTTGTATGGCCTTTGAACTTGAACACTTTTCCTTCTAATTGCGTTTCCAGTAAGGTGCTTGCAACACTTAGTAAACATCCTCTAGTTTCTCTAGTAATACTCTTTTGAGGCTCACAATAATTCCAAGTTGTCTTCAAGTATGCAATATTCCTGCAATTCGTTGGATCTAACATGACAATAAAGTCTCTCTGTGTGATTCATCTGGCTCAGGGGTCTCTGGAGCAGCGAGTGGCTCTTTTTACCCTCTACATGGTTTAGATCATAGTATGTTGACAAATAACTCTATTAGACTCTTTAGACAGACAACAGCATGACTTTAAATGAATAGAAATGTGTTTTCAGCACAGCAAAAAATTAAAATCTTAATAAGTATGTTTTTCTTAAAATAAGGGTGTTTTGTCTTGAATTGAGGAGGTTAGTTCAATTCAATTCAGTTTACTTATATAGCGGCAATTCATGTCATCTCAAGGCACTTTACAGAGACAATTCAACCAAATTGATTCAAAGTTTTCTATCTAAGGACAACCAGTTGATTGCATCGACTCATTGACTCGAAGGCAATCCCTCACACTAAGAATGTTTGTTGCTACAGTGGAGAGGGAAAATTCCCTTTTAACAGGAAGAAACCTCCAGCAGAACCAGGCTCAGTGTGAGCGGCCATCTGCTGAGGCCGACTGGGGTTCAAGGAGACAGAAGCAGAGATACAGAAAAAAGCAGAGATACAAAGGCAACTGTAAACCAGCTCCACAGGCGCCCCTTTCCAGGAAACACACAGCCAGGCAGATGAGCTCCGAGCCAGCTCCCATGTCAGAGGATGAAAGAGAGCATATACAGTTAATCACAATCAGAGAAACAGGACTACACTGAAAAACAGGCCAAGCTCCAACAAAGTGACACACTTTGTCAATGGAACATGACAATTTACATTTAAGATAAGAGGAAAACAATTGCATTGTCTTATTCTAAGAGTAAAAAATACTCATTCTATCGGCCAATCATCTTATTTAACGTTTTAAATTAGAGTAAATACGCTTAATTTAAGAATGTATTACTTATTTCTAGAGTGTTTTTTGCGGTGAGATCCATATTTCTATTTATAAATTGGGAAACTATTTGTTTATTTTCATTTACATAAAGTAGTATCCTAAAGAGGAACATTCATGCTTCTTCTGGTAAAACATTTGTGTTTTTCCTTATTCTAACCCTGTAAAGCCTAAACCATGGAATATAAAACACATTTTGCTTTAAACTAATTTGGTAATTTAATGTTCTGACAAATAAAATATTTTAAGGATAATTTAATCAGGCATTTCTGTTAAATATATTATGAATTTTCTGTTCACACAATGTGTCTGATTGATATAAATCAGTGTTTAACAGAACAAAAATAAATCTGATGATGTAAAAGTCTCAACAAATCATAAGATACATTTGGTGTTAAAGGACTGAAAACAAAAAATTTAAAACATATTTTGTGCTGTTAAACACAATGGAAACAGATTTCCTACAGAAGATATTTAACAAAAACAATAGGTCGCATTTATTTAAATATTTTGTAATACTTTGTGGCTCTGAATTACTTATTTTGCTGGGCACAGCATTTGAAAGGTTGCAGAACTCTGATCCAGCTAAACTAATGTAATATTCTGATGATATTCTGATATAAGACGACTGATCACTGTATGTACAGTGGATGTATTTGGTTCTAAAACTGAA